GTTCTCTAAAGGAAAAACAAGATAACAAGATGTCGCGCGGCCGCAAATGCGGCTGCATGCTTCCAGGAGCTGGGTTTTATAGTCTCTGCGTCTTGGCCTTTGATGGGACCAAACTGGCACTGGTGGCAGCTGGTGGGTGTGATGCCTACCTACCAGAAGATGGGGGGCGGGGTGGGTGGAGAAGACTCAGTCCCAATCCGAGTAGGCTTGGATACCTCAGCTCTGGGACCCACGTGCCTGGGTTCCTCTGCCAATTCTTTCATGCATGAGGCCCGTCCGAACGTGTGGAGAGTGTTCCCAGCATAGCCCTTATATATATATATATATATGTATATATATATATAAGCACACAAGGCTCAACCTTTCACAATATGTTAGTGATCTCTTACAGAAGGGCTTAATGATCCCTGTTGAAATAGAACAATCTTCACATTCTTCCCTCTCTGGATACTTTTTGGTAGCATTTTCAGTGGTTTTTCATAACAAACAATACAAAATATATTATTTCGGTTCTGCTTTGGGAAAGGGATTGGGGTTCAAGAAGGAAACATTCAAAATTTGGTGGTGAGAAGGTGTAACAGTGGATGGGATTGCTATTGAATATTAAATGTAATCAAATATTGTAACCTTATAAAATTAAAAAATAAAAAAGGCTTAGAAAACAAAACAAAACAAAAAAAGAAAAAGAAATAAAAAAGAATTAAGCCGGGCACTGGCCTAGCGTGGTTTGACCCCATGCCCTTCCCTTTGCCATTGTCTCAATGACCAGGACTTCAATGCAGACTTCACACCCTTGGCAGTTGTGTACCAGGGATTGTACCATGAGTTTTGTGTTTGTTGATGCCCATGTGAGTGGTTGGTGCTGGGTGATTTGCCCTCAGCAAGGCGGAGTGATGCCGGGAATGAACATATGAGCCTGCCATAGTGTGATTTTATTTTACGCTTTTTTTGTTATGTCTGGAGGCTATACCCAGCAAAGCTCAGGGCTCACTCCTGCCTCTGTGCTCAAGGATTGCCCCTGGCAGGCCTCGGGGGACCGTCTGCAGTGCTGGGGATCGCGAGATGGAGTGTGACTGAGACCAAGTCGCCCAAATCCCAGACGGTCCTTGCTTTCTTTTCATTTGGGCCCTGGGGTTTTTATTTCCCCCGGGTTGGTCCCTGCTCCCTTTTCACAAAGCCCCACTCACTCCCATGCAAGGGATCCAACCCAGGGCCTTGTGTGCATGGGCTAAAGCTCCCTTGTCCTTCCTCTTCCTTCTTATTCTTTGTAATTTGGTTTTGGAGCCATATGTGGTGTACTCAGGGCTTACTCCTGGCTCTGTGCTCAGGGATCACTTCTGGCAGGCTCTTGGGACCGTGTGGGATGCCGGGGATCAAACCTGCGTTGGCTGTAAGAAAGTCACCACTTGACTATTGCTCCACCTTCCTCCCTTCTTCTTCCTCCTTCCTTCCTTCCTTCCTTCCTTCCTTCCTTCCTTCCTTCCTTCCTTCCTTCCTCCCTTCTTCCTCTCTCCTTTCCTTTTTTTTTTTTTTTTGCTTTTTGGGTCACAACTGGCAATGCTCAGGGGTTACTCCTGGCTTTGCACTCAGGAATTATTCAATTACTCCTGGCGATGCTCGGGAGACCATATGGTTGCCAGGGATCGAACCCAGGTCGGCTGCATGCAAGGCAAATACCCTATCCACTGTGCTATCACTCTGGCCCCTCTTCTTTCTTTCTTTCTTTCTTTCTTTCTTTCTTTCTTTCTTTCTTTCTTTCTTTCCTTCCTTCCTTCCTTCCTTCCTTCCTTCCTTCCTTCCTTCTTTCTCTCTCTCTCTTCCCCTCCCTCCCTCCCTCCCTCCTTCTCTTTCTTTCTTTCTTTCTTTCTTTCTTTCTTTCTTTCTTTCTTTCTTTCTTTCCTTCTTTCTCTTTAATTTTTTCGGGTTTTTTGGGGGTCACACTCAGCGATGCTCAGAGGTTACTCCTGGCTTTGCAGGGAGTAACCTAGGGAATTATTCCAGGCGATGCTCAGGGGACCATATGGGATGCAGGGGCTTGAACCCAGGTCGGCCGCATGTGAGGCAAACGCCCTCCCCACTGTCCTATCACTCCAGGTCCTGCTTCCTTATTTCCTAGCACTCAAAGCACTTATGGATGCACCTCGTGTTTTTCCTGACCTGGCCCTTTGAACGAGCCATCTCTTCCAGGAGCACTGGTTCCTGTGTTGTTTTTCTCTTTCAAAATTTTATCGGCTGATTGATTGATTGGTTTGGGGGCCACACCTAGCAGTGCTCCAGAGCTGCTCCTCACTTGGTGCTTGGGATGTGCTCCCGGCAGTGCTCAGGGCACCGTGTGGTGCTGGGGATGAAACCTGGGCCTCCTGTGTGCAGATCACGTGCTCCCAGTCTCCATGTGGTCCTCCTCCCTTTCCCTTTCTCCTGCCTTCTCTCCCCCATCCTCTCTCGCTCCTGCTGTCCTCCTCTGCAGGCTCTGAGGGAGGGAGATGGCTCAACTGTGTGATCCTGTCCCTGCTATTAAAGCTAGTAATAATGAGCCATGAGGGTTGTTTCAGGGATTCGGGGATGCCAGGTGACCAGTGGGTCTGGCTTGGTTCTTGGTTCCCCCTGGTCAGCTCCAGTGCCCTGTGTTACCTTTTTTTTCCTTTTTGGGTCACACCCAGGGATGCTCAGGGGTTCCTCCTGGCTCTGCACTCAGGAATCACTCCTGGCGGTGCTCTGGGGACCCTGTGGGATACCAGGGATTGAACTCGGGGTCGGCCGTGTGCAAGGCAAACACCCTCCCCGCTGTACTAGTCCTCTGGCCCGCCCTGTGTGTCTTGCTGGTGGTTTATGGGCTCTGCAGAAGGTCACTCGGCCCGGACTTGCAGAGTTCCCTCTGGTTATGCCACGTAGCTCTTGGCCAAGGAGCGATGGTGAGTTTCTGGGTGCTGCTTGGCATCAGAAACCCCACCTGCATGCTCCCACCACAGAGGTGTCACCTCTACCTTCTCAGCAGAGGGATTTGCCGCTGGGTGGAGGGTGTGTTCTCCTGCACAGAGTGACCCCAGAACTCCAGCATGGACTTAGCACTCGCTAAGGGCAGTGGGGGCTCAGGAAAACCCTTGTTCCATGGAGTCTGTCACCTTGAGACATCTGATGGTCACTAGAACCGCTTTCGTACTGTGAGTTTCTCTTCTATTTTTATATATTCTCGCTCGGAGGCTGTATCTTCAGCTTGGGGTTTCAAATCCCTTTCTGCTTTTCACACTTCAGCGTCATAACCTTTCACTCCTTAGAAGCAAATCACTCAGGCTTGCGTATTTGTTTTCTTTGAGGGATGGGTATTTGATCATTGTATAACTGAAACACAAACACAAAAATTTGTAAGTCTACAACTGTACCTCATGGTGTCTCACTGATAAAAATTAAAAAAAAAATAAAACAAAGCAAGAGCTCATGGGAGAAGAATCCCACATGCAGAGTGAGAGCAGGGTTGAGGGAATGTTTTTTTGGGGGGGACTTATGTATGTCGGGGTGCAAGGCAAGTTGTTCAAAGGTGTCTGGGCTATAGTTTGCCCCTCATGTGATTCCAGCCCAGAAAAGTAACATTCTCGTTTCTTCATCAGTCACCCAATGGTGTGGAAAGCAAGGAAATAAATCAGTCCCGTTGACTTTGTGTTTGTTTGCTCAAAGGCAAACAGATCTTAATTCTGAGCTATGTTTAGGGGAAGGGGGATAGCTTGGAGGTGTGGAATATGCAAGGCACATCCAATACGCAGCTCTGTTTGCTCCCTGTGATCCCACTTCTTAGGAGTACACACACATACACACACACACACACACACACACACACACACTGAATTTATATCTAAAAAAATTACTTTTTTTTTGAGGCTTCCACCTTCTTTTTTTTTTCTTTTTGGGTCACACCTGGAGATGCCCAGGGGTTTCTCCTGGCTCTGCACTCAGGAGTTACTCCTGGCAGTGCTCAGGGGACCATACGGGATGCTGGGAATCGAACCCGGGTCGGCCGCTTGCAAGGCAAACGCCCTACCCGCTGTGCTATCTCTCTAGCCCCTGGAAAAATTAATCTCGTTTTTATGGGCGTTAGCTTGATTTTTGGGGGGGGTCACACTCATCTATGCACAGGAGTTCCTCCTGGGTCTGCACTCAGGAATCACTACTGGCGGTGCTTGGGGGACCATATGGGAGGCTGGGGATCGAAACTAGGTCGGCTGCATGCAGGGCAAATGCCCTACTAACTGCACTTTAACTCCGGCCCCTATGGGGGTTGGATTTTGGGGTTACATCTAGCAGTGCTCAGGGCTTACTCCTGGCTCGGTGCTCAGGGATCACTCCTGGCGGTGCTCAAGGACCTTATTCATTGCCAGGAATTGAACCTGGGGCAGCTGCAGCCAGGCAAGCGACTTCTCCATCATACCATCTCGCCAGTTCCAAACCATTCTCGGTTTTCTTTCAATTTTCATAATCGAAATGGCTGGACTTTAGTGCAACTTTTCCTTCCTCGAGAGGATTCACGGAGGGGCTACGGGTGGGTAAGGTGCTTTCCTGGCATGTGGCCGACCCAGGTTTGATCCCCAGCATCCCATATGGTTTCCCTGAGCACCGTCAGGAGTATTTCCTGAATGCAGAGCCCAGGAGTAAGCCCTGAGCATTACCAGGTGTGGTCCCCAAAACGAAAATGGAAAAAAAAAAGAATTTATGAGATGGGTAATCATTTTCTCACATAAGTGGCTACAGAGCATGATGGGCAGGGGTGAGGTGGGGAGGACAATCACAATTTTGCATAGTAGTTTCAATAAGCAACCCCAGTCTTTGAATCATTTCCTGAAAAAAAAAATTACTTCTGTGTTTCTTATGCTGCATCTTTTTTTTTTTTGAAGCCTTCAAGCTTCCTCCTCCTCCTCCTGGCAGAGGAGAAATTGGTCTATTTCCTCCTTGACACACCAACTCCTCACTCTTCTCTCTGCTTCTTCTCAACTGAATGTGAGAGATAAGAGATGGAGGTCACGGATCACGCCATTTATTCCTTTTTAGGGCTGTCCCAGGCCCCCCAAGTACAGAATGACTGCGGATCGCAGCCCAAAGGTGAGTCGACTGCAGCATTCGGGGAAATGCCACTCAGGGAAGAGGGGGAGGGAGAAGTCTGGAGTCTAGGATCTAGAGAAATCAAGGCAAACGGGAGGAAGTGCTTTGGGGTCTGTTTCAGACCCAGAGCTGGAAAAGGAAGAGTTCATTGGGGGTTTACCCTTAGGTCTGTTTTTCTTTTGGGGGGGTCACACCCGGCGATGCACAAGGGTTACTCCTGGCTCATGCACTCAGGAATTACTCCTGGTGGTGCTCAGAAGACCATATGGGATGCTGGGAATCGAACCCAGGTCGGCCTCATGCAAGGCGAATGCCTTACCCGCTGTGCTATCACTTCAGTCCCTGCTCTTAGGTCTTTGGGAAATCTTTTTTAATCTACAAGACCCAGGTCCAATATGGGATGCTGGGGATCGATCTTGGGTCGGCCACTTGCAAAGCAAGTGCCTTTCCCCTGTCCTATCACTTTGGCTCTAGATGAGAGATTCAATGCTTTTGAAAGCAAGCGTGAACTTGACTGGGTTCTACTGCTGGAGGAAATCTTGGAACTGTTTGTAACTCAAGTCTAGCCTAGTTCGTTCTGATCACTAGCCTCTCAGATAAAGGTTCTCCTTGGAAAATATGTAAGCTCACATATTATTCCGAGCCAAGGTTATAAAGTTAAACTTCACTCTAAGCGATAGAAAACTGCTCTGGGGACAAGATTTTGTTGAAACCAACTTGAAGTGTCATTAGATCAATTCTTTCTATCCACGGAGTGTAATATTCAATTTTAAAATGCTTCAAAAGGCATGCTGTAAACCTCTTTAGACAACCAGTTAGTGTTTAAAGTATACAGTTAACGAAAATATAATAGAACATTACTTTTTTCCTGGAGCTTTTAAATGAGGTATAATTTTCAGAGTTTCGGGTGCAATTTTTAGTGTAAGTAAATTGTATATTGAGATAACAGCAACAATGAAGACCAAAAAGCAATGTACAGTTTTAAGTGCCAGGTTATTCATGGAATGGAATTACGGTGGTGTGTTTGAATTTGACTATAGTGATTTTGATTTCTAGGCAAGTGGCTTTTTTATTTTTACTGAGTGCTCATTGCACATTCTTATTTTTGCCAGTTTTTTTTTTAGTTTGAGACCCTGTTTTCCAGGTACCTTACCTGGGAATGGGAAAATAGGTCAGGACTCCAACCCCCTCTCCTATTTTGGCTTCTGAGGTCATACCCTGTGATGCTCAGGGGTTACCCCTGACTCTGCACTCAGGAAGGAATCACTCCTGGTGGTGCTCAGGGAACTATATGGGATGCCAGAAATTGAACCCGGGTTGGCTGCGTGCAAGGCAAGCGCCCTCCCACTGGACTATTGCTCCAGTCCCTCTAAAAATCCTTTGAAACAAATGTTTATTGCCGAAAACAGGGGCTGGAGTGATAGTACAGCAGGTAGGGTGTTTGCCTTGCATGCAGCCGACCCAGGTTCGATTCCCAGCATACCATGTGGTCCCCTAAGCACCGCCAGAAATGATTCCTGAGTGCAGAGCCAGGAGTAACCCCTGAGCATTGCCGCGTGTGACCCAAATAAAAGAAATAAAGAAAGAAAACAGAGAAGCCTTGAGAGCAGATTAAAAAAAAGATAGGTCTACACCAAGTTTTGTTTGTTTGCCTCACCCAGAGATGCTCAGAATTTATACCCTAGTCAAAGTGATATCTGCACTTTTTTGTTCATTGCATCACTCTTTACAATAGCCAGAATCTGGAAAAAAAAAACCTGAGTGCCCGAGAACAGATGACTGGTTAAAAAAACTTTGGTACATCTACACAATGGACTACTATGTAGCTGTTAGAAAAGATGAAGTCATGAAATTTACATTCACGTGGTACTACATGGAAAGTATCATGCTAGGCGAAATGAGTCAGAAAGAGAGGGACAGACATAGAAAGATTGCATTCATCTGGGGAACATAAAGTAACAAAATAGGAGACTAACACCCAAGAATAGCGGAAATAAGTACCAGGAGGTTTACTCCATAGCTTGGGGGCGGCCACACATGCTAGGGGAAAAGGCAGCTCAGATGAAGAAGGAAGCACCAAATAAAGGGTGTTGGGAGGATCCTCCCAGGATGGGAGAAGCATGCTGAAAGTAGACTACAGAACGAACATGATTGCCACTCAATGCCGCCTCTTTTGCAAACCATAACACCCAAAAGGAGAGAGAGAACAGAAGGGAATGCCCACAGAGGCAGGGTGGGATGGGGGGGGATAGGGGGTGGGAGGGATACTGGGATCCGTGGTGGTGGGAAATGGGCACTGGTGGAGGGATGGGCATTTGATCATTGTATAATCGAAGACCAAGCACAACAATTTGTAAGTCTACAACTGTACCTCATGGTGTTTCATTAATAAAAGTTAATAAAAAAAGAATTTATTCCTGGCAGGGCTCAGGGGACCATATGAGATACAGGGGGTTCGAATCCAGGTTCGACATTGACAGGGTAATTTGTCTGTGATTTAAATAAGAAAGTAGGAAAGCAAGCCTTACCGAGGGAGATTAATTTCCCCATTTCTGAATTAGTAAAGTAAAGTAAAGGCCCTCCCGTTGATCATCGATTTGCTCGAGCGGGCCCAGTAACGTCTCCCTTGGAGACTTTGTTGTTACTGTGTCTGGCATATCGAATACTCTCGGTAGCTTGCCGGGCTCTCCGAGAGGGGCGGAGGAATCGAACTCGGGTCGTCCATGTTGGCTGCGTGCAAGGCGAACGCCCTACCCGCTGTGCTACCAAATAAAGGAATTTTAACTAGTACTGAAATACCTTCCTCGTCAGGTTTTGCCACCTGCCCCCTCCCCCCCAACACACACATGCTTCCTATACTCTCCAACTGATGATACTGCTACAATTTTGAAATAAAAGTCTGGGTTGAAATGTTTTTCACGTCTGGAGAGATAATACAAGGGGTTAAAGTGCTTGCCTTACACGTGATTGAGCCGACTTTGAAACTCAGCACCCCATATGGTGCCCCAAACCCGACCAGCAGTGATCCCTGAGCGCAGAGTCTTGAGTAAGACCTGAGCACCGTTGGGTGTGACCCCAAAACATGAATCATCACGATCACGATCACGATCACGATCATCCTGTTGTTCATCGACTGCCTCGAGCAGGCTCCAGTAACGTCTCCTTCGTCCTAGCCCTGAGATTTTTTTTTTTAAAGTGCCATATTCAAGGCTCTTTCAGGGTTAGGAGAATGAGACCCATCGTTGTTACTGGTATTTGGCATATTGAGTGTGACACGGGGAGTTTGCCAGACTCTGCCATGTGGGCAGGTTACGTTCGGTAGCCTGTCAGGTGGTCCAAAGTAAGAATGAGCTAAGATGTCGTGCGGCCTCAAATGCAGCCTCACGCTTCTGGGAGCTGGGTTTTATAGTCTCCAGGTCTTGGCCGTTGATGGGATTACACGATGCCGGGGGGGGAGGGGGTGTCAGTTGGTGGGTGTGACCCCTGCCTACTGGAACATGGAGGATCTGGGTGGAGGATGCTCAGCCCCGATCTGAGCAGGCTTGGAGATCTTAGCCCCGGGATCCGCATGCCTTTGTTCCTCTACCGGCACCATTTTTTCACTGTCTGGAGAGGGTTCATTGACCCTCACACCCATCAAAAAACTATATATATATATACATATATACACATATATATTGAAGGGCAAGAGAGATGCCCCAACTGGGACATATGCTTTTTTTTTCTTTTTGGGTCACACCCAGCGATGCACAAGGGTTACTCCTGGCTCATGCACTCAGGAATTACTCCTGGTGGTGCTCGGGAGACCATATGGGATGCTGGGAATCAAACCCAGGTCAGTCACTTGCAAGGCAAATGCTCTACCTGCTGTGCTATTGCTCCAGCCCTGGGGCATGTGCTTTGATCCCTAGTACCATGTGTTCTCTTGAATACCACAAAAATGATCCCTGAGCACAGAGCAGGAGTAACCCCCAACACCACCATGTGTGGCCCCAAACCCTCCCCAGAATTACAAGGAACATCTGAAGTGGTTGAGAGATCAGGGTGGGCCGCTGGTCCTGGCACAGTGTTTTTTTGAATTTTTTTTTTTACATCTTGTATATTTATTCATTGAATTTTTAAAATAACTGGCCATCCTTGTTTTATGGATACAATTTAATTTTCCTTAGTTCCTTGAAGATATTGGTAAGATGTTCCTTCTTTCTGCAACATCTCTGATTCTTTAATTTTCTTCTTTTTTTTTATTATTGAATCCCATGAGATACAGTTACAAATATTTCATGTTTGAGTTTCAGTCATACAATGATCGAACACCCATCCCTCCACCAGTGCACATTCTCCACCACCAGTGTCTCCAGTGTACCCCAACCCCCTTTCCAACCCTCCCCCTGCCTCCATGGCAGACAATTTCCCCCATACTCTCTCTTATTTTTGGGCATTGGGAATTTTTTAAGTTGAATCACCATGAGATACAGTTACAGACTTACAAACTTTCGTGATTACATTTTAGTCATACAATGGTCGAGCACCCATCCCTCCACCTGTGCCCATTCTCCACCACCAATGTCCCCAGTATCCCTCCTGCCACCCCCCACCCCTCCCCACCCCCTACCTCTGTGGCAGGCACATTTTACTCTCTCTCTCTCTCTCTCTCTCTCTCTCTCTCTCTCTCTCTCTCTCTCTCTCTCTCCTTTGGGATGTTGCGTTTTGCAATCCAGATACTGAGTGGCCATCATGTTTGGTCCATAGTCTACTTTCAGCACACATCTCCCATTCCGAGCGATCCCTCCAGCCATCATTTACTTAGTGGTCCCTTCTCCATCCCAGCTCCCTTCTCCCTCAGCACTTGAGGCCAGTTTCCAAGCCATGGTTCGATCCTCCTGGCCTTTATCTCTATCTCTACTGCAGGAAAAGCTTATAGGGCGTCTCTACTCCCATCTCTCAGACTCTCTCCTAGCCTCTTCTGGGCCATTTCTGTCTTCTGGCTCAGGAGTCTCTCTCCATTCTCTCCTTGCAGTTTCCTCCAGACTCCGGCTCTGTGCCTATGGGATCATCACTCTGGGCCTTCTGAGCATCATTCTTACGAGTTTGCTGATAGTCAGATGGATTCTGTGCCAGGGTAAGTACAAACTGGAGCCCAAGAGGAACGCTTGGATTTGGGCTGTAGAGGAAGTACAGTGGGGAAGGGGCCAGCCTGGAGCCACAGACTGAGCCCAGAGCCGGAGTAAGGCCTGAGCACTGCTGGGGGTGGCCCCAACAGCAACAACATCTTTTGGCTTAACTGTTTTGTGATATAAAATCAATGTAGCATAAGAGAGAGTAGGGGGCAGGGAGGGATGGAGGGAAACCCCAATAAAGTAAGTTACCCCTGCACACATCTTCTGGGGTTCTTGTCTTTGAGCACATGCATTTGTGTATTTATTCTTTTTTTTGGGGGGGAGGGGTGCCACCCTGGTGGTGCTCAGGGGCTGTTCTAGCTCCATGCCCAGGAATGGAATGATTCCTGAAGGTGTTTGGGGGACCAGGTGGAGTTCCTGGGATTCAAACCTGGGACACAGTTACCACTGCTGCCACATGCAAGGCACGTGCCCTGTCTCCTTCATTCTCTCTCTCTCTCTCTCTCTCTCTCTCTCTCTCTGGCCCCAAAGTTATTTGTATTCAAGTAAATATTAGACCACTTCTCTCTGCAAAGGTCTAGCATGGACCCAATAACTATCACTATCACTATCATCCCGTTGTTCATTGATTTGCTCGAGTGGACGCCAGTAATGTCTCCATTCATCCCTGTCACGTGCTAGCGTAGCCCAATGGCATATTGGGGGCTCGTTCAGAGTGAGGGGAATGAGGACCATCATTGTTACTGTTTTTGACATATCAAGTACGCCACGGGAAGCTTGCCAGGCTCTGCCATGCTGGTGGGATACTCTCAGTAGCTTGCCGGGCTCTCCGAGAGGGATGGAGGCTTTTTGGGCAGCCTCTAATCACCTTTACAGGTGTTCCCAGTCAGGCATATATGTGGGCAGGATACTCTTGGTAGCCTGCCAGGTTCTCTGAGAGCGAGAACTAGAAAATAAGCAGTTCATGGGCCCAATGAAAGGGAAGAAATGGAGCCATGAAGTCGGCACCTTATTCTTCTGAGGTGACTTGACCCAGCTGGGGCCTCTTTCCTTCTGAGATCGGCCATGGCTCTGAACAAGAAGTTCCAGTGTCTGGCTTTATTACTTGTGCCCATAGTCCCACAGAACAGACACTAAGTCTAGCAAAGCTCGTTCTAGAACATGGGAAAGCATGCTACATGACACATTCCATTCAATAATGACATTCCTGGGGCCAGAGAGATGGTGGGGGCTTCAGGCCTTACATGTGGACAACCCTACTTTGATGCCCAGGAACACAGAGCTGGGACTAGTTCCCAATCACCACTTGGGCATGGTCCAAAAAGCCTGAGTAAATCAATAAATGAGTACTGATATCTATGTATGTAATATATATATATATGTATGTAATATATATGTATTCAAAAAAATGTAAACGTCCGATTCGGGTTGTTAGGCATTTGAATGAATCAATGCTCATGGCCAAGTTTGTGTTGACAAGGACACCGACGCCTCCGACATCTCTTTTATCGCATGTTCCGAGGAACAATTCTTCTCTAGTGTCGAAAATGGCATGATGAGATTGGTGCCTTCTTGTCTCGGTCAGACCAATGATGTCGTACTTGATCTTTCGCGCTTGTACCATCAGGTCCTCGATGGTGCATCTGATGCTAGCGTATGTGCATTGAAAGCACAGACGATCATTTTTGTCTTCCTTCGTTGTGGCAGCCTAGGTCGGCCTTGAGATTTTGTCGGCCTCTCCTTTCTCATCCTTCCCAATGCTGCCATATTGGTGACACCTTCAGGGTCAGGGGAGTGAGACCCATTGTAATTACTGGTTTTGGCATATTGAATACACAACAAATAGCTTGCGAGGCTCTGTGAGTATATATACATATGTATATGTATATATACATATGTATATATAATGTGATAAGTTGAACAGAATGTAATTATTTGACATGATCATAAGGAAATGATGATACAATATGATATTTTATAAAAGCAGCATACAAAATTATACGTTATGATGAAAACTCTACCAATTTTTTTTTTTTGCTTTTTGGGTCACACCCAGCAACACTCAGGAGTTACTCCTGCTTCTGCACTCAGAAATTACTCCTGGAGGTGCTCGGGGGGACCCTATGGGATGCCGGGGATCAAACTCAGGTTGGCCTCGTGCAAGGCTAATGTCCAACCCACTGTACTATTGCTCCGATCCCAACCGTACCAACCTCACATACAAAAGCAAAGGTGGGGGAGATTTTAGAGGAATTGATTGAAAATCTGTTAAGAGAATAAATACAGACAGGAGAAGGGAGAGATCGCATAGCCCACCATAGCATAGCAGGGTACTTGCAGGCACACGGCTGTTCCCAGTTAAATCTCTTGAAGCACATGTTCATCCATCCTCAGCACTGCCAGGAGTGACCCCCAAGCAGAGGAACCCCTGGGTGTCCCCAAATGAAACAAACAAACAAACAAAAAGTGCTTGTTTTGCTGGCGGTTGACCCAATTCCTTCCCGGCGCCACATCTGGTCTCCTGAGCACCAGTAGGGGTCGCTCCTGAGCACAGAGACGGAAGCGCCTCTGAGCCCAGCCATACAGACCCAGACTACACCTCTTCCTTTCTAGGTCCCAAGGAGTCCACTTGTGACCACTGTCCCAGCTGCCCGGACTTCTGGCTGAGGCACAGTGACCACTGCTACTATTTCTCAGTGGAGCAGAAGGACTGGAATTCCAGCCTAGAGTTCTGCCTGGCTGAGCACTCACAGTTGCTCATGTTTGCAAACAGCGAGGAGATGGTGAGTGCAGTTAGAGGATTTGGAAAGGGGCGTGGGGTGGGTGGGGGCTGTGTTGGCGAGTGCTGTTCCTTCCCTTTTTTATTTTTGACTTTTAATTTTTTTATGGACTCACCGCGAGATACAGTTACAAAATTCTCATGCTTGAGTTTTGGTCATACCATCATTCCACCAGTGTGCATTTTCCATCACCAAAATTCCCGGTATCCCCCACCCCCCCCCGCCCCTGCCCCACCCCAACCCTTCCCCTGCCTGTGTGGCAGGCAATTTCCACAATATTCTCTCTCTACTTTGATTACATTCAATCTTTCGACACCAGTCCCACCCTTATTATTTGGAATTCTCCCACCACCCCTCAAACCTGCCCAAAAGGCAATGCTAGAGAATTTGTTTTGTATTGCTTGATATGAGAGTATCTCACCCGCACGACAAAGCCTGGCAAGCTCCCCGTGACGTATTCGATATGCCAAACACAGTAACAATTGTCACAATGGAGACGGTACTGGGCCTGCTCCAGCAAATCGATGAACAATGGGAGGACAGTGACGGTGACAGTGACAGTTATGGATAGCATATAATGTTGCACGGCCGCTTCTGGAATTCTAAAATTTTAATAATCAGAATCTGGAGAGATCTCTGCAGCGAGCTGTTCAGTTCCGAGATTCGTTTGTGGGTTCATCTCTGGATCATGGCCATTTAGGAGCTTAATAAATAGCTGAGGGCATTTTGTGGGCGGCATCTCAGAGTCCCATCGGCGCAGGGGGTAGGAGAGGGACTGGTTTCTCCCTTGTCCCATGAGGCCTGGCGTTTGCTGCTACTGACCCTGCTTACCTTGCCTTTTGTTGAATTCTGGAAGATGGTGGCCGACGGGTTTCCTAGAGGACAGGTGGAGAGATGGCACTGGCTCCCATCTGGAGTAGCTCGGCCAAAGTGGCCTATTGCAAAGTCCGGAGGCATCTCTTGCAGCAAGCTGCTTGGTTTCGAGATTCATTTGTGTGTCTCTCTGTTCCTTCTCCTGAGGAGCAGAAAGAATAGTCTTCCTCTTCCCTTCCTCCTCCACCTCCTCCTCCCCTCCTCCTCTTCCTCCCCCACCCCTCCCCCTCCCTCCTCCTCCTCCTCTTCCTCCTCCTCCTCTTCTTCTTCTTCTTCTTCTTCTTCTTCTTCTTCTTCTTCTTCTTCTTCTTCTTCTTCTTCTTCTTCTTCTTCTTCTTCTCCTCCTCCTCCTCCTCCTCCTCCCCCCTCCTCCTCCTCTTCTTCCTCCTCCTCCTCTTTTCTCCTTCTCCTCATCCTCCTCTTCTTTCTTCTTCTTCTTCTTCTTCTCCTCCTCTTCCTCCTCCTTCCTCACTCCTTCATTCCTCCTATGTTCTTTTCTAACTTCTCTATTTCCTATGCTTTCCTTCAGGAGCCAATAGCCCTCTGTTAACAGAAACCCCTACAGTGGCTGTGTGTGTGTGTGTGTGTGTGTGTGTGTGTGTGTGTGTGTGTTGGAGGTAAAGGATGTTGAGTAAGGGTTCAGTCCAGAAGTGCAGGTGTGATTAAGAAATGTAGTGGATCCAGAAAGATCCCTGTTCTCACGAGGGAATAGCAGATGGCCGAGAAAGAGTCAAACTGGGAAGAGCAGACAGCTAGACCTTGGCCAGGGCTTAAGTGTCTTCTCTCTAACATTGCCCCTTCTTTAATCATTGCATTCATTGTGCCAGAGAAGAGGATGAAGGGGGCTTGCCTTGCATGCTGCCAACTGGGTTTGACATATGGTTCCCCTAGCCTTACCAGGGGTAGATCCCTAAGTGCAGAGCCAGGAGTGGCCCCAAAACAGAGCAAAAAAACCTCCAAAACAAACCATAGCAACAATTCTCACTTGTCATTGTAAATTATATATCCCAAGAAAATGAGAAACCCTTGTCAGGTTTTGAGTGCTGAGTTGATGTTGATGCTTTTTTTTTCTTTTTGGGTCACACCCAGCAATGGTCGGGGGTTACTCCTGGCTCATGCACTCAGGAATTGCTCCTGGCGGTGCTCAGGGGACCATATGGGGTGCTGGGAATCGAACCTGTGTCAGTCATGTTGGCTGCGTGCAAGGCAAACGCCCTACCCACTGTGCTATGGCTCCAGCCCCGATGTTGATGCTTTGAGGCAGCTTTCTGTTTTCTCTTTGGGGGTAGAATTGAGTGACAGAGAAGAGTGTTAAGAATTCAGCATTAGGGGTTCAGGCAATAGTACCACGGGGAAGGCTCTTGACTTGCGTGTAGCCAACCGGCTTCAATCCCTGGCACCTCATATGGCTCCTTGAACCTGCCAGGAGTTCTGAGTGTCAGCCAGGAGTAAGTCCTGAGCACTGTGAGTGAGGCCCCAAAACCAAAACAACAACAACGACAACAACAACAACTGTCACTGTCACTGTCCTCCCATTGTTCATCGATTGGCCCAGTAACGTCTCCGTTGTGAGACTTGTCATTACTGTGTTTGGCATATCAAATATGTCATGGGTAGTTTGCCAGGCTTTGCTGTGTGGGTGAGATACTCTCGGTAGCTTCCGGGCTCTCCGAGAGGGGCAGAGGAATCAAACCTGGGCCAACCGGGTTGGCCACATGCGAGGCAAATGCCCTACCCACTGTGCTGTCACTCCAGCCCAACAACAACAACAATAATAGTAAAAGAATTCAACATTATTAACATCCTTTGTGGGCAATTCAGAGACATGATTGCTCTCAGGAAGTTGAGGAAGAGCGTATTGTCCTTAAATGTAACTGGCTTCCCATTTGATGAAAGTCTAGAATGGGCCTAGAGAGGGAAAGAGAGTACAGGGGTAGCTTGGAACATGTCTAACCCCAGTTCGATCCCCAGAACCGCATATGATTCCCAGAGCACTGCCAGGAGTGATCCCTGAGCACAGCTGGGTGGGTGTGCTCCTAAAACCAAAAAAGAAAAGAAGAAATTTTTGATGAAAGCATCTACAAAGAATACGTCTTCCTCTAAATCAGACCACCTCCACAACTTACATCGCCTTTTTTGCTTTCCGTAAGCTAGGTGACAGATGGCATGGGATTCACCCGACACAGGATTGGCCAGTTGGGTGCCAGTGCTCAGGGGCTACTCCAGGCTCAGTCCTTGGGGAGATACTGAGGGAGAAGGCTGGAGAGGTGTTGCGTGAATATTCTTTCGGTCAGAGGGACAGAGACAAGACATGAGAGGAATGTAGACAGCACAGAGGGCCAAGGCATCGATTTGGCTTGAGGCGAAGAACCAGAGGCACCTGGTTATTCTTCTATTTTATCAGTTACATCCTAATGTGACTCCATCACAGAGAAAGAATCACTAACAAGAGTCCTATTGACTTCATCACAGAGAAAGACTCACTAACGAGTTATAGGATAAGCATTCGTCAAAAGTACATCAGGTTTCAAGCACAAAAATTTGTAAGTCTGCAACTGTACCTCATGATGTCTCACTAATAAAAATTAAAAAAATTAAAAAATAAGAAAAAGAAGCATTTGAGGCAAAATAGTCAATATTGTTAAATTACTGCCAGTATCTATAGTACTGTCCAATCTGACTTTCATGATGAATAATTATGTCAAAACATTTGTCTTTGCAACATTAAATCTGGATATTTGGCTTCAAATAAAAAAAAAGACCTTAAAAAAAAGTACATCAGGGAATACATTGTCTTGTCAAAGCTATGTTGTCAAAGCTATGTCGTCATGATTAAAACCCCAGAGGAAGATATGGAGCTGGACCCGTAGGCTCTGCTGATCACATCCTCCACATTCTTGTGGTTGGTTACACATAGGGCAAATAGAAGGCTCATACTGATACTTGAAGGTCAAACCAGATTAAGGATGTGTAAGAGAGAAGGAAACTGATGCTTTGTCTTTGCTGCCAAGACAATGTATGACCAGGCGGGCATATGAGAGCATGCTGTACTTCTCCAGATCATCGGACTCACAAGCTTAGCTTGCCCACTTAATGTGAAAGTGAGGCCTCGGTTCTGCTTCCTGCTTGCAGGGCAGCGTCCAGAGGCTCGTCCTAATGTCCTGGCTTGGCACCAACAAGAGGGAACATGTGTTGCCAGGGATGGGACCCGGGCATGCTCCATGTGTAAGGCATGTGCCTAGTCTGTTGAACTCTCTCTCCAATCCCCAAATTCTTTTTATTTTTTTCTGGTCTGCTGTTGGGGCCACACCCAGCTGTGCTCCTGGCCTTGCACTCAGTGGTCTCTCCTCTCTCCTGGTAGGTGGGGCCAGAAATTGAACTCGAGTGGTCCTAGTGCAAAGCAAGCACCTTCCCCGCTGTCCTGGTGCTCAGGTCTGACTCCAGCCTCTGCATTTGTTTGTGTGTTTTTTGTTTGTTTGTTTTGGCTTTGGGGGCCATCCCTGGTGGTGCTCAGGGGTTATTCCTGGCTCTGCACTCAGGAATCACTCCTGGCGGTACTCTGGGGACTCTATGGGATGCCGGGGATCGAACCTGGGTTGACCACGTGCTAGGCAAACGCCCTACCCACTTGCTTGCTGTGCTGGTCTATCGCTCTGGCTCAGACTTTGCTTTCTGGACCCCGGGGACTGCTTAGTCTGGCTCTGTCTGCTGAGCTGCTGCTGAGGACTCAGGCTGACTGAAGTCAGGAGCAGAAGTAGAACCCAGGACTTGAAATGCTGCAGCCCAATGAGTCATAACTCGAGGCTCAGGCCAGAGAGCTGCAGGGCACAGGCTGGATGGGGAGGGAGGGGAAGGGCACCCCAAAACGGGAAGGCCACTGCTTTGCTGAGGAACAGAGATGCTTCCAGGAGCTCTGGGGGTTGCTCTCACTCCCGTCCCTGAATCCCACTGCTCCTGCAGAGACGAGGAACAGAGTGAGCCGGGTGGCTTTTGTGGTTTTCCTTCTGCCGCCCCGGGTTCACTTCAGGTCTGGAGTGGGCAGGACTTTACGCCAGGGTGGAAGAGAGAACCAGAATTAAGGTATTTTGTGGAATTAAAAAAAAAATAAATAAGAGGCTTGGTGCTCTCTC